CTTTACAGGAGTGGAAAATTTCATCTTTCTTCCACAGAACAGCTGGTAGTTTCAGACTGTTGACTTTGTGGTTCACAGCCCAATTTGTAACCACTATGCTACAAAAGCACACAATAAATATCCATAAGAAATCACATTTTCCTGAATGCTGTCATTGCCACAACTTAACTCCCCCAAGCAAATGTTTTCTCTCATTCCATCCAAAGCCAGACTTTGATATACAGTGGGAGGACACACAAATGGGTCTTTTCTTGTGATGATGAAGACCTGTAAAGTTTTCCGATACCTACATTTCTGGGAGAGGAACACAGTCCAGGATTTTCAACAGGTCCCATTTGGCATTCAGTGATCTGGACAGAAAACAAAGGAGACACCAGATGTGGCACTGTAGGATAAACCCTGGACTGCTAACCAAAGCTAAGAGGTTCAAATCCATAATCCACTGCTTATAAACCCTGTACAGAGTCACAGTGAATCAGAATTGACTCAATAGCACTTAACAACAGCATGATCAATGATTATTCAAAGGAATCCCCTTTTTTCCCCCATAAAAGACAATGACTACTGGTGAATGGAAGGGGGGAAAGGCAGCAATGAAGAAATGGACTGAGTTCAACCATGCTCCATAGACTCCTGTGTCTGGAGATGAGAGAGAGAAGAGGAAGGGCTGGTTGGTCCAAAGTGTGGTGAGACCTGAGGACACCTGAGTCCACAGACAAGGACATAGCCACAGAGGGCTATAGCTAAGAGTGAAACATCCAGCTGATATGAAGTGAGGGGAGATGCACAAGAACACCCAAACTTACAGATATTACCTATTTAACCTAGCCTCAATGGCTTGATAATTAGAACTCAACTAGAGGAAGATAAAACAACAAAAACAACAATTTTTGATAAATGATGGTAAATTGCTACAATTTAATTAACTTGATCTATATTCATGGAGATAGAAACTCTATATACTAACAGAGAGGGAAGGTGTCTTCACATCAAATATCAATGTTATTCCCTCTGTATATAGGGTAGATAGGGATGCACAACTTAGAAATTGTTGTTGTTGTTATGTGCCATGGAGTCGGTTCCAGCTCATAGTGACCCTGTACAGGGTTTCCAGGGTTGTAAATCTTTACAGGAGCAGAAAGCCTCATCTTTCTCCCACGGAACTGCTGGTAGTTTTGAACTGCTGACCCTGAAGTTAGCAGCTCAATTTGTAACCACGGAGCTCTGGTAGCATAGTGGTTATGAATCGGGCTGCTAACCTCAAGGTCGGCAGTTCGAAACTACCAGCGGTTCCATGGGAGAAAGATGAGGCTTTCTGCTCCTGTAAAGATTTACAGCCTCAGAAACCCTGGGCAGGGTCACTATGAGTCGGAACCGACTCCATGGTACTTAACAACAACAACAATAAGAAGCTATCATTGGCTCCTTAAAATGAGGGGGTGATATAGGCACAGAGTTACTGACTTACAAGATTTCAAGAGGGAGTTTAGTTTAAGTGTGTGTGTGTGAGAGAGAGAGAGACACAGAGAGAGAGAGAGAAAAAAAAAAATAGAGTCCCCACTGAATAGGTTTCTTCTCTTCTAGATGGGTCTTCTAAAAATAGATGGGGATAAGATTCTTATGATTCAATAATGAGTGATTATTATCATGACTAATTGCGACTGTCACAATCATAAAGGTAGAAGTTTTGTAACAAAAATGGGGAAGTAGTTAATCTTACAGTACAGAAACAAAGGACTCTAGGACCATCAAGGGAGAAGAATGCAAGTGCAATGTGAGACCTTATTCAGAGAAGCAACGACAACAGAGATGGAGATAGAGATGGGACCTGGAGAGAAGGAGCAGCTAAGGACTCTAGATTCATGGAAAGAAAGGGACTGAAAGCTGGCAGTCAAGAGACAGACTTTCAGAAATTGCCCATTGGTGGTATAAATTATTATATATGATTGAGTGTTAAAAAAAAATAAAAAGAGCTAAAGTGAAAAGAGAGAAATACTGATAACTGATGGTTTGTGGAGGGGATTATAGTTATTGTAATGAAAAAAGGTGTACGGTTTGTTGACTATAACACTGATGACTGCCCTGTAAACTTTCACTCAACTCTCAATAAAGACTTAAATAAAAATCCAGTACTAGACTTCTTCACTGTATGCACTACATAGGAATGAAGTAAAATTCACAAGGTATTGAACTCAGGAGTAGGGTGAGTCCAGGTTGTTCTTTCAACCAGAGATGTTTTCCATGAATTACAGCCCTGGGTGACCTCTACTTTAGTGATAGCACTGTGCTGACCCACAGCTGAGTGTCTACAGTGAGTACATACTGGAGAGAGTGAGTTGAATAAGTGTCTGGAATAGCTGGTCCACATCTACAACCATGTGAAAATCATCACAGCCATTTGCCCACTGTCAACCTAAGTAGTACCAACAAAAAGAGCACCAATCTCCACTTAGAAATGATCATCATGAGAACTGAGAACTCATCAGTAAATTACTGTGAGAGATCAAAATAGAGAAGACAGTATAAAACCAGGCAATTGTTGGACACGACATATGCAAGCACTGAGAAGCTGTGGCCCTGTGACAAGATGGATGAAAATCCAATCCCGAGGCCCCTACTCATGATTGCGAGCCATGGACCATGAGGGCCAAGGAAGTGACCCCCTGAAGTCCCGGGTTCATAGGTTTTTGCAAACTCACTGGTGGGCTACCTCTGTATAATTTTCTTTGGTCTTGTTGTTCATTCTATGCTTCTAACTCCAATAATTGTAGCTTCTGAGAAAATGGTTTCTTATATGCCTCTCTTAATGTCTCCACTGTGTTGGCAGTGCGTAGAGTCCTGGGAACAAATCTTTTTGAGGAACAAGCAATAGCCAACTGGGATGCATGTCAAGACTGCATCTTGATATTAACCTGAAGCATGAGCCTTTGATGTCCATATACAACAATGGGACCAAAACCCCTCTAAAGCCGAGATAGTAAAAAGTCTCCTCAGAGGACTCAGAAAGGCCAAGAACAGGTATATTTTTTACTCAAGGTTTGTAAACAAAGTAGATTGGTAAATTCTGGGAGTATTTATTAGAGGACAATAGTGGCAGCCCCCTCAAACTCCCTCTGGGGTTTAACCCAGATGCTCTCCTTCCTCCTGGAAGTATATAGAAATGCGATGTTGCATTTAGATGTAGAACCTGGAAAGAAGAAAAGGAATGTGGAAGCGAGACCTCACCTTCTTAGAAAGGTTGAGAATCATCTCTCATCTTCTCTGGAATTGTAAGAGTAAAGAAGAAAGAATTATTAGTTGATAAATGAAGCCAGGTATTTGAGATCATGTTCACAAACAAAAACATGAGCTTTTGTTTGCAAAGTATACAAAGACAGCTTGATTCCCTTCCAAAACCTTACTTTAAGCCTTCTATGACCTTTTAAATCTTTTTCACCTTTACCCATGAGAGATTAAGTGCTAAAAGCACGTTAACTATCCTTGAGACAATTGTGATGCATATTTTAAAATTTGTTCCTATGAATTATTATGTCTTGTTTTGAATTATTAATCACATTTCAGTTCTGTATCCTATCTTATCTGAAAAATCCCTCCCTGAAAAAGGAAAATAAAAGACTGAGGTAGAGTGAGTGCTGCATGCAATGCAAGGCAATGCAATGTTTACAGACCAGCCTGCCTTTCAGCTTGCATCAAATTTGTGTGTCTGTCTTCTTTGTGTCTGCTTTGTCTTTCTCTTTCTCCGCCAGATTTCCCTACTTCGTGAAACCACTCTTCTGTCAAGACAGGACCCCGTCAGGCAATGAGTGAACCTGCAAAGGGTTGCCTGGCCTTCAGGTGGCACAAAGACCATACAGAAAATATGGAGTAGAAGTAGGAAGTTTGGTCATGGTTTCTTGCAGGCTAGGGGGTTTCCTCTTAGGAATAAGCATGAAACATACTTTTTAAAACTAATTTTTAGGATACAAACTGTTCTACTGGTGGTCCCCACAACTACTCCATCAAAAGTGAAAGACAAAAGAACACCTAAGACAATAATCATAATAATAATAATGTTTAAATTATCATGCCAACTTTAGATGACAAAAAGGGGAGTGACTGTCCAAAAGCTACAATCTATTATCCAAAGTATGTGGAAAGTATCTATTTAATGGGTGGTCTGGGGAGCTTGAAATTAAATGGAAATTTCGCATCTAACCATAAAAATACCAGTGTACCATCAAATATTTTTATTACTTGTGAGCTTGAAATATATTCTTGACAGACTCTATTGCTTTTCTCCATATACCAGAGCCTTTATTTTCCCAAACAATGATTCTGAAATCTGTTTTAGTAAAATGTGGGATTATAATAACTGACTTAATGTATGTCAATTTTTTACAGGCCATATCTCAGTCTCAATGAGGTATATTGACACAGTGGCTCAAGAGTAAGGATGTGAGGTTTGCACAGGACCAATAGTGTTTTAAACTCATTTACATAGATTCACTGTGAGTTGGAACTGACTTGATGGCAGCTACAACAACAACACAATTTCAATCTAACACCTCAACTTAAATGCAGTAGGATCATATCCAAAGGTAAAACTTGATTTCTTATGTCTAACCCTTATTTATTTCTGGCTTCAGACAGAATTAGAAATGACACAGAGAGAAATATGGTTGTTCTGCTTCACTGTTTCTTAGAGTGAGGGGTACCACACACCCAGAGTTTAAGGATGTGGTAGAGGATCCAAGTTCCCAAGTAGGACTTGAAGAACCAAAACCCCATGATTTGCATCTTTAACATTCCTTGCTTGTTTGGCTGTTTTGTCTTTTAAATCATTTAAAAATAAATATGTTCTTCAGGTGGGTCACAGACCTAAGCCTTAAATATTCTACATAATGAATATGTAAATAATATGAAGTCTATTATGTCATATAAGGATATATATGTGTTCCCAGAGTACCAAACAAAACCACACCACTCTCTATTAAAAGTTCTGGGAAAATAGCTCTCTAACTATGGATTGGACTTGGAGAATCCTCTTATTGGTTGCAACAGCTACAGGTAAAATGGTTTCCAATCTCAGGGATGGGGAAAGCATTTTGGGTGCTCAAGGCGAATTTCATCCATCCCAATCTGCTCTCAGCAGGTGGCATTTCCCAGGTCCAGCTGGTGCAGTCTGAACTGAAGAAACTTGGGTCATCAGTGAAGGTCTCCTACAAGGTTCCTGGATACACCTTCACTAGCAATGGTATACAATGGGTGCGGCAGATGCCTGGACATGGGTTTGAGTGGATAGGGTATATTAATCCAAGCAGTGGTGGAACAAGCTACGCACAGAATTTCCAGAGCAGAGTCACCATGACCATAGAAATATCCACAAGCACAGCCTACATGGATCTAAGCATTCTGAGCTCTGAGGACACTGCCATGTATTACTGTGTGAGAGACACAGTTTGATAACCATATCCTGAGTGTGTCAGAAACTCTGAATGAAAAGCCAGATTCTAAAGTCTCTAAAGATGATGGGGACAATTATGCTTCAGGCTTTCTTTTTTTATTGTGATTATTGCTATTTGGTATCATTGAGTCATTTCTAACACATAGCTATCCTGTACACAACAGAACAAAACATTACTTGGGCCTGAACCATCCTCACAATTGTTGTTACATTTGAAACTATTGTTGCTGTCACTGTGTTAATTCTTCTTGGTGGGAGCCTGATCCTCCACTTTATCAAGTATGATGTCCCTCCTGGCAACATGTCTGAACTATGAAAGACAAAGTCTTGCCATCTGTTTCTTAGGTGTATTTCTTTCAAGACATCTTTGTTTGTTCTTCTGAAAATCCATACTCTTCTACAATATTATAATTCAAATGAATCAATTAATCTTTTGACTTCCTTATTCATTGTCCAACTTTAACATACATATAATTGTATTAAAAATATCATGGCTTGATTAACATGCACATTAGTCCTCAAACTGATATATTTGCTCTTGAACTCTTTAAAGAGGTCTATGTATCAGATTTGCACAACGAAATATGTCATTTGATTTTTTGACTGTTGTTTCCTTGAGTGCTGATTGTGGAGCCAAGCAATTTGAAATCTTTGATGACTTCAATGTTTTCTCCATTTATCAAGATGCTGTTTGTTATTCCTAGCATGGTACTGTAGGATAAACATTGGACAACAAGATTGGTTTGAACTGCAAGTTTCATGTCTCAAACTCACCAGCTGCTCATTAGAAACCATAAACTGAGTGGCTATGAGTTGGAATCGACTCAATGGCACTTAATGTTGTTGTTGCTTGGTGCCATCGAGTTTGTAACATCTCATAATGACCCTATGTACAACAGAATGAAATACTGTCCCATCCTGGGCCACCTTTACAAATGTTACTTCCAAGGAGAACTCTTCCTATACTTTGGTCAACAAAGATCTGTGTGTTATTTTGGCAGTCAATGAAAACTCTCAATATTCTCCTCCAATATCATTAAACAAATGCATCAATTATTCTAAGGTCTTCCTTATTCTCTGTCTAACTTTCAAATGTATATGTAGTTATTTGAAAATATCATGATTTGGGTCCGGCACACTTTAGTCCTCAAAATTGCATCTTTGCTCTTCTATACATTAAAGAGGTCTTGTGCAGCAGATTTGACTCATTCAGTACATGTTTGATTTCTTGACTTCTGCTTCCATGAATGTTGATGGTTGATCCAAGCAAAATGACGCCTTTGGCTACTTAAATATTTTCTCCATTTATATGGCTATTTACTGGTTCAGTGGTGAGGATTTTTTTTTCTTCTTCACATTGATTTGGAACCCATAGTGAAGTCTGTGGTCTTTGATTTTCATCAGGCAAGCATTGTAAGTCCTCTTGACTTTCAGCAAGCAAGTTTATGTATATCACACACTGCTAATGAGACTTTGTCCAATTCTGATGCCGCATTTTTCTTCATATGTTCCAGTATCACAGATGATTTGCTTAGCATACACAATTTATAAGTAAGGTGAAAGAATATAACCCTGGATCACAGCTTTCTTAATCTTTAACCATTTAGTGTTCTCAAGATTTGATTGAACAACTGCCTTTTGGTCTATGTACAGTTTCCTCATGAGCACAGCTAAGTGTTCTGTAATACCCATATTTTGCAATGTTTTCCATAGACTGTCATGATCCATAAAATCAAAAGACTTTGCATAGCCAATAGAGCATGTAACCATGTTTCTGGTATTATCTGCTTTCAGCCATGAGCCATCTCACATCAAATGTCATGATATCCCTTATTCCACATCCTCTTCTGAATCTGACTTGCACCTCTGGAAATTCTCTCTCAATGCATAGGTAGCCATTTCTGCTTCACCTTTAGTAAAACTTTACTTGCATGGGGTACCAATGATATTGTCTGGTGATTTTCGCATTCCTTTAGGTCATGTCTCTTTGGAATGAGCACAAATACAGTCTTACAGTCAGTTGGCCAGGAGGTTGTTGGCAAATTTGTTGGCATAGATAAGTGAGTGCTTCCAGTGCTGCATGTGTGGTTGAAAGATTTCAATTTGTGTTCCATATATTCCTGGTGCCTGTTCTTTGCTAATTACTTCAATGCACCTTAGACTTCTAATTTCAGGATCATTGGCTCTTGATCATATGCTGCCTCTTGAAATGACTGAACATCAACTATTCTTTTTTGGTACAGTGACTCTGTATATTCCTTCTGTCTTATTTTGATTCTTTCTGCATCATTCAATATTTTGCTTATGGTGGTGGTGATGTGCTGTGGAGTCAGTTCCAACTCGTAGTGACCCTGTACACGGTTTCCAAGGCTGTAAATCTTTATGGGAGTGGAAAACCTCTTCTTTTTCCCATGGAACAGCTGGTCGTTTCGAACTGCTGACCTTGCAGTTCGCAGCCCATTTATAACCACTATGCTAACAGAGCTCTTATGGTATTGAAGGATTTTTCTCATAGAGTCCTTCAATACCAAAAGTTGAGGTTTCAATTTTTCTTTAGTTCCCTCAGTGTGAGAAATGCTGAGCATGTTCTTCCCTTTTGATTTTCTAACTCTGTGTTTTTGCACATTTCATTGTAATATTTGACTTTATCTTTTTGATCTGACCTTTGAGATTTTCTGTTCTTCTACCTCTCCCCTTCATTTGTGTCTCTACATTGGAAAGCCAGCTTAAGACTTTCTTCTGACATCCATTTTGGTATTTTTCTTCTTTCTTGCCATCTTAATGACTTTTTGCTTTCTTCCTGTATGGTTTACTTGATGTCATTCCACAAGTCTTCCAGTCTTTGGGCTTTAGTTTCTAATTCATCAATTCTGTTCTCCAGATGATCTCTAAATTCAGGTGGGATATAATGGAGATGTTTTCATTTTCTTCAGTTTCAGTCTGAATTTACATATGAGCAGTGGATGGTCTTTTCCACAGTCTGCCCTTGGCCTTTTTTGGCAGATGATACGGAGCTTTTCCACTCTCTTCCTATTGCTATAGTTAATTTGATTTCTGTGTATTACCACTGGTGAAGTCCATGCGTATAATCATCTTTTATCTGTTAAAAAGGTATTTGCAATAAAGAAGTCATTGGTCTTGCAAAATTCTATCTTGCAATCTCCAGAATAATTTTTATCCCCAAGGCCATATTTTCAACTACATATCCTTTCTGTTTATTTCCAACCTTTAAATTCCAATTGTTAGTAATTATAAATCAATCTTGATTGCATGTTTGATCAATTTAAAGACTGAAAGAGTTGGTAGAATTCTTCAGTTTCATAATGACTTGCTCAAGTGGTTGATGCATAATTTTGAATATACTGGCATTAACTAGTCTTCTTTGTAGATGTATGGATATTATACTATCAATGACAGCATTATACTTCATGACTGATCTTATGTTCTTTTTGATGATCAATGCAACACCATTTCTCTTAAATTTGCCATTTCTGGTATAGAAAACCTTGTGATTATCCAATTCAAAATGGCCATTACCAGTCCATTTAAACTCACTAATGCCTAGGATTTAAAAGGAAATTGTTAATGTTCAAACTTTTTAACAAGTAGCATATGAACAAGAGCCAATGAAGCTAAAGGAGGAAGTCCAAAGTGCATTGAAGGAATTGGCAAAGAACAAGGCACCAGGAAATGATGGAATAAATGTGAAATCCTTCAAGAAAATATGGCAGCACAGGAGGCACTCATTCATCTCTGCCAAGAAATTTGGAAGACAACTATCTGGCTGACTGATTGAAAGAGATCCATATTTGTGCTAATTCCAAAGATAGGTGACCCAATGGAATGTGAAAATCATCAGACAATCTCTTTAAAACCCATGCGAGTAAATTTTTAATAGAGGTAATACAGAAATGGAAGGATACATTTACAGAGTACTTCCAGAGGTTCAAGCCAGATTCAGAAGAGGCTGTAGAATGAGGGGATCATTGCTGATGTCCAATGGATCTTGGCTGAAAGCAGAGAATATCAGAAAGAGGTTTACCTCTGCTGTATTGACTACACAAAGACTTTCAATTGAGTAGCTCATGACAAGCTATGGACAACATTGTGAAGTATGAGTATTCCGGAACACTTAACTGTGCTCATGAGGAATCTGTACCTGGACCCAGAAGCAGTTGTCCAAATAGAACATGGGAGCACTGAATGTTTTAAAATTAAGAAAGGTGTGCGACAGGATTGTTCTTTCACCATACTTATTCAACCTGTATGCTGAGCAAATAATCCGAGAAGCTGGTTTCTGTGAAGAAATATGTGGCATCAAGATTGGAGGAAGACTCATTAACAGTCTGCAATATGCAGATGATACAAGCTTGCTTGCTGAAAGTGAAGAGGACTAAAAACATTTACTGATGAAGATCAAGGAGCACAGCCCTCAGTATTGATTACATCTCAATGTAAAGAAAACAAAAGTCCTCACCACTGGACCAATAAACAATATTCTTATCAATGGAGAAAAGATTGAAGTTGTCAAGGGCTTCATTCTTCTTGGATCGACTATCAACACTCACGGAAGCAGCAGTCAAGAAATCAAACGACGTATTGTTGACGTATTGCATTAATCAAATCTGCTGAGATACAAGACCTTTTTAATGTGTTGAAGAGAAACGATGTCAGCTTGAGGACTAAGGTGTACCTGACCCAAGCCATGGTGTTCTCAATAACCTCATATGCATATGAAAACTGGACAGTGAATAAGGAAAACCATAGAATAATTGATGCCTTTGAGTTATGGTGTTGGAAGAGAATACTGAAAGTGCCATGGGCTGCCAAAAGAACCAATAGTTCCGTTCTGGAAGAAGTGCTGCCAGAGTACTCCTTAGAGGCCAAGATGGCCAAACTTTGTCTTTCTTACTTTGGACATATTGTCAGGAGGGACCAATTGCTGGAGAAGGATATCATGTATGGTAAGGTGGAGAGTCAGAGAAAAAGAGGAAGACTC